TAACATTAGTCTGCACTTTGTGATTGAACACTTCAGACTCCTGATTTAGAAGCAATTTTTATTCTTGTTAAATTTTGCACAACCTGGATAAGACCTGAATTTTTCCCTAACCAAACACTGACAGTAAATTGCCTCCATCCTGCCAACTAAAACTTGTCTGTTCCCTCTGGTTTAATCTTCAAGCTATTAAGATTTAACTCGACGCCAAACACCTGGATTATGTAAGAGAACAACAATGACCATAATCCACTGCATCTACAGCACTCTTCAGATGCGTGCCTTTAAGTCAAGGTGTGTGAGTGCATGTAACGTCAGCTAACGCAGCATAGCGAGGAAGTGTTGTGTTTGAAAAACGGCACAGGCATGATGTAGTTGAAAAAAACAATTTAAAAAACAAATCTCTAAAAGGACTATTTTGTAGTCTTAAAAATGTGGTTATCAGATAGTTGACCAGACGAGTCATGTGATGAGATGAAGCAGCAACTTGAAAGTTGAACGAAGAGTATAAATAAGCCCTTAATCAAATAGGTGGCACTGGTTGCCATGGGGATAAGACAGCTGTCACCAGGGGTTGTGTTGACGTCGGAAATGGTGGCCCTGCAGTTTTCACACCCCTCGTTTTACCTTGCACCGTTGTGACTCCCCATGACACCGTCGCCCACATGTGACACCCGCAGCTTCACAGACAGATCAGCAGCCCCCCCCGTTCACACATCGCACCCCGCTGTCATCACAAACACACACAGAAACGCACACATTTCGATCTATTTCATTCGCAATCAACACGTATGTCATCTCTCAATCTCCTCTCTTTTTGTTGGTCGTTTCAGTTCATCCACCTGATCCCGAAAAAAGACAGACCTGCTGAGGCAGCGTGCTGTCCTGCTGAGATCTGAGACTTCATTTGCTCCATGTTCAGTATACAGGCCCACTACATGTTTTCCATGTTTCTTGCACTTGACATCTCTGTTTTTATCTCCCACCTCCATGCGACACCTAAACAGATCATTCTGACGACGAGCGACGCTGTGGAGATATGTTTTGTTGTTTGTGTGATTGATGCCGTAGTTCAGGTGGAAGTTAACAAAGTGGAAAATGACGTTATCTGATCAAAGAGGGTAAATTCACTCCTGAAATGTTCTTAAGCAGCAGCTTTGATAACCTGACACAGTGGCCCTGGCAACAGACAAAATCAAGACAACAAAATGTGTGGAAAAAGCAATCCAGCTGGGTCTTTTAATCATCAAGGAATACAATAATATGAAGATCAATATTTCAAATGCTTATCAACTTTCTTTGTTTTGGTTTCATTTAGAGGTAAACTGTTCGAGACTACTGAAGCCTTAATGCATTGCAGACGGTTAACAGGAAGCATACTGTTACAATGGTCACTTCTTTAGCTGTAGTCTGAAAGTCATATTTTTCTGCATTTTGGCAAATTGGCACCATATGCCAAAATAGCTACTGGCTGCTTCTTTTCTTTGCAGTCCACTCAAGGATGGAAAGACAAATTCTACTGATTGACTTTGAAATAAAAGTTGAAAACATGATGATTCAAAAGCAAGTGCTGACTAAGGTCAAAATATTTTCATGATTTTTGTGTATGAATTTGACTGAGTAATGACTCAAAGAAGGAGAGCAATGTTAGCGCAAATTGCTCTAATCAGGCACTAAGGGTTGTGTACCTTCAAGAGTTATGTGTTACAGTTTTAAATCTCAGACTGTTGCACATCATTGCAAAACGGGACAATAAACTGTTCTTTTTAAATTTAAATTATCTGGTATGCATTTTTTTTAACAGTTTAAATTGTTCTGTTCTTGACTATCCAACATTCACAAGTCTTGAGGGGACACTGCACCTCCTCTGGGATGCTGCAGGACTGCAGGGAGGAGTGGAGGAGCAGATTGGGGGCAGCTAAATGCCAAGTCTACTCATGTATGTAATGGTTACACTGAAGTGATTGTACAACCTGACCCCATACCCCGCCTACTATCCCCACTGCCTCTGCCCCCTCCACCCCATCATAATATCAATTAATATTATGGCAGAATACAGACGCACCGATGATCCGTAACAAGTGGCATGTCCTGAGAGAGCCAGTGCCACGAGACCGCCTTAATTAGGCCTGAAAAAAAAAAAGCAGGTTATTCTATCCCTGTACTCCCCGTTAATCTGCGTTTCAGAGCCACAGAGTCAACCCCAGCCCCGACCGGCAAATGTTATTATTTCATCTCTATCGCAGCTGTGAATAAGCCAGTGGGCGTGACAGCCAGTGGGCGGCCTCAGATCCTTAACAAAGCTTTCCAGGGATGCAGACACAACTAGTGCAGCCAACTGTTTCCCCGCTTCAGCCGGACATACAGTTCTCAACAGGAGCATTTTAATTAATTAGAAATCAGGAGGGTTGGTGGAGTGCACATCTGACAGGTTATGAGTCCACCCGGCCTCTCTGCTAACAGACAGCCGACACCTAGTTGTAATTCAAACAGGGTGTTGCATTCAAATGTCAACCCCTCTCCTTCTCTTTGCTCTGGATCTGTTTTTGAGTGTAAATTTCATCATGAAATTTCCATTTTGCCTGCATTCATTATGCCGTCTGGAGGAGCAATCCCACTGGTACAGCTCTAAACAGAGGGCTTTATTTGAATAGGATTGAATAGAAAGCTGAACTATTGAAAAAGAGGAATGAGAACAAACTCTTTCCCTCTTTAGTAGTCACACATTTAAATGGTAAGGTGCATGTATGGTTATCACAAATACTTTGGTAAGATGTTGATTTTAATATATGTCAGGTAAGTTGTAAAAACACTCACTTTTGCACGAGAAAATCTTGTTTTTAAATAGTCCATATGTAAAACATAACATTTAAGGAAAGCGAGGATTTAAACCTTTAATTTGGCCTTTATTTGAAAAGAGAAAAATCTATCAAGGTCTGCATTTGCCCTTTCTAAATTGGGTTACAAATGTCATAGATAAGTTTGTTTTTGTCTCTTGATTGGTGAATCCAAGTCAAGTAGCATTCTAGCTAACTTTCTAGCTTACTACATGCCATGCTAGCTAAACGCTTGTAGGCACAAGTTTTCCAAGTTGAGCAAATAACCTGCTGTTTTGCTAACTAGCTAATCACAAGCGAATTATCAGGCAAACAAAATGCAAGCGTGCGTAACAAGCATCCTTGGGTCAAAGAGGAAAATATTTTTTAAGTAATCAGTTTTCCTTACAACACTTCAGTACTGAATATAACGAAAGGTCAAAACATTCACACTCATACACAAATAAAGCCGATTCGCGTTCTGTTTTTTAATGCTCTTGACTACTAGCATGTTAAACCTAGCTTGTAGCTATAGCCGCTTTTTTAAACCTTCAGCAGACAGTTTCCCCGGTTCAAAAAAGGACAGACGCCTTCGAGAGCAGCACACGTTCGCTGCAGAGTAGCTCTTAGCTACACCTTGGGGGGGGGGGGGGGGGGTGGACCTCACAGCTCAGCTATCACTGGCATTGAGTAAGCAATCTGTCTGCTTCAGCTGAGTAATTACAGATTTGCCGTACCTTTTCCTGCTGATGATGCTGTCATGGGCTGTGGCTGTTGCTATGTCCTGGGGCTCGGGTTGATTGTCAGGGAATGACTTTGTTTCAGCATTGTCATAGAGTCTATACCATAATTTATCAGGCGCCAGTGGGGGAAAAAGAAGTACAAATTATCTGCTGTATTTGAAAGTCAGGGCATATTGATGGGTGATAAATTGAGTTGGAGTCGCTCTAAATTTCTTATCACTGAGCAACGACAATAATCTCAGGATAAGTGGCAGCATCATTAACCAAAAATAGACATTAAGCTCTGGTAGCGTGCATTCTTCAATAATGATGACATCTCGTGTAGAGGTTTTTTCAACAAATACTCTGCACCCCAAGGCAAAGATATGATTAATTAAATTTAGATACAGCATTATCTCAAAATACCTCAAGGTGGGTTGAATTGTACACACTGAGTTGTATTTCTTTTAGTTGCAATTTTCAGTCTGAACAACTAAATAGAAGACAGAAGGAAATACTCCACACAGGAACCACATATTAAAACATCACCTGTAAGGCTACTGTAACCTCCAAAGCATTACTGTGGTCAGGCACCATGCACACAGGAAAAAAAAAAAAAAAAACGCACACATGAAATATAGTCCCTCATTTTTGCAAATGAAACCATTTGCTATTCTAGTTCACCCTCCTGTGAGCACGCTGACAAACGGCTACCAAATATGAATGCAAATAACATATTTAAAATGGGCCTAATAGCTATTTCCAATACAATGCATCATTCTGATCAATTGTACTTATTCAGGTCTACACGCCTCCTTTACCCTTCGCCTCTGATTGTATTTTCCAAATGCCAAGAGCAGACGAATCACTGCCGCAAACACACAAGTCATTTAGCGACAATGAGGCCAGATGCTAAACACAGAGAAAATGCGATGCACGGCCACAGCCTCTTTTCCCTCCTTCTCTACCTCGACTAAATCTCCACAAACTCAAATCTCTCAGGGTTTCTTTTGTTGTTTGATGTTATGATGCGTCTTCTGCCCCATTCCCCTCCGTGGTGATCATCTAATTACACCAGTGGAGTCAAACCACGACAGAGCACCACTCCATGCAAGCACAAGATATCAAATTACCCCATGATGTTATTGCGGATTAGGACCACAGGCAGAGTCGAGCAGTGACTCATTACTTTAGATGCTTTTGACAGGAGGAAATGAACAATAGCACCTACAATACCTGCAATTAAATCTTAAGGATGTGTCTCATACTAATGACTCAGCCTCCCTGGAATGACCTCAAGGTGCGAGGCAAATATGTGGACAGCAAACTTGAGGAACATGAAAGAGTTTTAATGGCTTTGAGAGTCAGCAGGCTGCCTTTGTGAGTCAAACCTCAAGTGAGCATGGAGAGAGAAAAGAGGAAAAAGGGAAGGTGGACCAACTGCAGAGACGCTGCTGGGTCTTACCTGTCCTGGCATGGCGTTTTCACAGAGGAGGGTTTCATAGTCGATGGCAAAGACCGGGGCATTATCATTTATGTCCAGCACTGTGATGAGAGCGATTCCTTTTCCAATCTGATTTGGATCCTCTGGAAGAGAAAGAGAGAAGAAAGTCAGCACGTTTCATGTCAGCAAACCCTCCTTGAAACACTTTTATTCTGCTTTAACTTTGGGTTGATGCACTTGGCCAAATTATAGAATATTGATCTTTCTCGTGTGTTTTAATTAATCACAAAGTGCTGCTGTAATGAAATATGCAGTGTGCTTCCAACAGCTGGCTCTGCTGTGGATCAGCCAAAGTGATTACACTCGGTGTGGGCTTGTCGTCCGGGAGGCTGCGCATGGGCTTCACGCCTCTGTCTGCCTGACACACACTGATGGCTAAATGGCCACATCTGAGTGTAAGATGATGATTAGGCCTGGCGTGGCTGCCATGCCGGCCACAGATGACGCTCTGACATTCGGGCCGGACGATTTGATCGTGATAAAAAGGACGCGCAGAGCCTCAGGACGCAGACTTCTTGTCATCGGCGTGGTCAGGGGCAGAGCGGATGAAATGTGAGTGACTGTAGCTCAAATGCACAACATCCGTTAACCCAAAGAGTCCCTTCACTCTTTTCAGTTACAAAGAAACCCATTTACTATAAATACTGTCATAAGTCACACAGGGCAGTAGATTTTGTTGCCAGTGTGGAAACTCAGAGATGTTTTCAGCTGGAAACAAGGCCCAAGTGTCACTATGTGTCACAAGCCAGTACCTCATGCATGAAGCACCGTGGTGACATTTCATATGGCTATTATTATATGCTGCCTTCTCTTTGTTGCTATATCAGGCAAGCGCTCACACTCGGGAATGAACTGAGAACTGTGTGTGTGTGTGCTGTTAGATGTAAATAAAAACACATCATTTGAAGCTAAGAGTGATAAAAGGTTCTGAAAAAAAAACTGAATATCCTTTTTCACTCTGTGTTCAGTGTGAAGATGTGAAGCAGAGGAACTGCCGCGCTGACAGGCTGCTTGTCTTTTTTAACTTATACTGATGCGATGCAGCTGTCTAGAGCGCTCTGCAAGATTATGCGCCGAAGATTGTTGTCCGTTGTGTTTCCATGATAGCGAGGAATGAAAGGAAACGTGTTGAAAAAAAGAGACACTGGTGTCCTTTGAGTCATCGAGAGATAAACAAAAAGGCAGGCGGCACTTTTTCACATCACATTAACATAGAGCCCCCGTGGGTGAGATGGCCCACCCTTAGTCAGCATCTTGTCCCCACATCTCAGGGATGTGTGGAGGTCAAAATGACCGTCCTCTATGTGAATTAACATTCCCCTGACGGCCCTACAACAATGCCAACAACTGCATTGTTCACAGCTTAGAAGGTTGTAGGTTATTATGAGGAGGTTGATATGACAGATAGGATCTTCGGCTTCACATTTTCACGGTGACACCAACAAGTAAACTGATCTTTCACTGAGAATTACCACTCCAAATTTTTGAAGCAGGTCCTTAATTTAAAACAGAGAACAATGGAATCGTATAGCATTTAATTTCCAGCCAGCAACTACTGATTTTGCAGCCTGAAATGACAGCTGTTGCTAGCAGATTTTATCAGCTAGCTAATGGCGCTAATGTTAGCTGATTGAAAACACCGTCATCCAGCCGACTCTGATATTTGAGGCTTGTTTTAAAGTGAGAATCTTGGGAAAGGAGTGTAAAATATTTTATGGCTACTTGTAGGATACAGTACTGAGTAAAAGACTGGGCCTGTATGTCCAAGGTCAAACGTTAGCATCCTCACCAGTCCATGAAACGCTAAGACATAATTAAAAGGATTACTTTTTGTGATGTCGTAATAAAGGTTCAAACATAAAATTGGATGGTTGTGTTTCAGGTATTACCAAAAGATTAAAAGCTAGTGGCTTAAGAGTGTGTGTGTTGTACAGTAATCAAAAGATTTAAAGGTCACATATTATACTCATCTTCAACCGGTTGAAATACGTCTCAGAGCTCCCAAAAATTTGTCTGTGAAGTTTCTTTCAAAAAATCCACTCTGATCCTGTATTTGATCATGCCTCTAAACCCCTCTATTTCAGCCCTGCTCAGAACAGGCTGTTTCTGTGTCTGTAGCTTTAAATGCAAATGAGCTGTGTCTGGCCACGCCCCCCCTCTGGAAGGGCTTGAGAGGCTAAGGCTTTCTCGCTCCATGCCCAATGGTTTACTGTGAGAAGGCAGACTCAGAGGGCAGAACAAACACCTAGATGTGGGAGTATCACGCTGGGGGAGGGGTTACTTCCCTTTGTGATGTCATGAAGGGAAAATCGCCAAACAGCCGGTTTAGCACGCTTTTTTTCTTTTTTTTCAAAAGAGAGTATGGACTTTTCTAATAAGTGGGGGGGGGGGGGGGGCTGAAGACAGGCTAGGAAGACATATTAGAGTTAGAAAAACATGGTATGGTTTGTTTTGCATAATATGTCACCTTTAATGTTCGATACCTGGCTCCTCCAATCCAAACTTCAAATTGTCCTTGGGCAAGATGCTAAAACCCAAATTGCTCCCAAAGGCAAAGCAATTGGCGAGAGAGTGAGTGAGGGTGAGTTTTAAAAAGTATGAGTGAAATGGCTCGTAGTGTGAAGCACTTTTAGAGGCTGGAGTACTGGGTCGCGCTATCACGATATCCATTCACCACTAAATGAATCATGAACATAACACTGCTAAGCTTACTTGCTCTTTTTTTTAATGGAAGGATATTTTACCCTTTCAAGTCTAGGACATTTATTTAATATCAAAGTTTTCTTGTTAAGCATCAACTGAAATCTGAGATCAAATATATTGCTAACGCCAGGGGTACTACCACTAGTGCCCATATGACGTTTAACTTGTGCTGTTGACTTTGTAGTTTCCCAAATCCAATAAATGACAGTATAACAGAGAAGCTAACATTACTCTAAACACTGACATTGTCCAAGACAAGTTTGCAACACAAAGGGAAATTACTAATCTTTTTTAATGTACCTGTAACACTTCAAATCAATGTCGTTAGCTAAGAACTGATCCTGTAGTTAGTGAGTTGTTTTCCAAGATTTTTGCAAGATTTCTTTGGAACAAAAGCGTGGATGAGAACACTGCTTAATCAGTACTTACACTTTTCATTTTAATTTTTGGTTTTAAAAAGACTCTCCAATCCTTACAATGATCTAAAGAAAAAATCAAATTCATTTTGTCATCCAATGTGCACTGCTTCTTGATTAAGAGTCCCACTGACTTCTTAGAAACAGTTTCTATTCACAGGTGAAGTTTCAACTTACGGCTTTCGATAGCGAAGATGGTGAGGTTATGGATCGAGTTGGCCTCACGATCCAAAGGCTTGGCTGTGCTGATGACCCCACTTAAAGCGTCTACATTAAAAAAGCGCTCCAAGTCAGTGTTTCTGTCAATGGAGTACCTGGATAAAAAAAAATACACAACAAAACTCACTACTGATGTATCTGCTCACAAAAATTGCTTTTGGATGGTGGTATTGATTTGACATTTCAGCGTTTTTTTGCTTTTTTTTTTTACTTGTGAGAAAAGATTAAGCTTTCTTCCATCAAACTGTGCAACACATATACTGAAGCTTCTCAGTTGATGCAGAGATAACTTCAATCAGTGAACAATACATCTGGTTAACATTTTGACCTTTTAAAAAACAAATAAAAAAAACAATAAATGCGCTAGAAACTTGGAACAATATAGCACGAATGAAACAAAAGCCTATTAAATGTTTTTCAAATTTGAAGGCTGTCCTCTTGTCTCTTAGCGCACAACACTGATCAAAACCTTTCAAAACACAGCAACTTATATTTCTAGAGAAAATTACGACTTAAATTAGCCTACATCCAAAGGGTATTATTGCAATGTAATTTGACTCTTGTGGCTGCATTAGTTCCACAATAATTTTAATTTCAACAGATGTCGTGAAATATATTGCAGTCGCTGTAACAATCACAGAAGCAAAAAGAGGCAATTTACAGCTACAATGGACGAGTAATTTGATTTTCTGATTAAGATTACTGACAACCCTCACAGACCAGGCATGAATACCATACAATATTCATTCAATTAATGCAAAATAGGCGGGGATCTCGAGAGTGACACCGAACAGATTGGCGATGAGAGTGCTTGTTTTGAGTCTTAAATGCCACGAGTGCACAAGTGTTGAGACTTGACCCTCCTGAAGGAATGCCCTTCTCTTGTTCGAGATGGCATTTTTAATTTTGCACATGCTGCACTCCCCGGTTCTCTCACCATCTGTTGCATTGGTGACAATAACATGGGGGCTTTGGGTGGTCTAAGGATTCTTTCTTTAGAGATCATGTGGAGTAGTAGAATGGATTAGATGGTTGTCTTAATTGTCCCAAATGGGATATTCACATCCATAGATTCAGATGCCGATACTCTACAACCTATTTATGATCGGGCTCTTGGCATTGTGAACTTTTTGGAATCTTTCGATTACTCCCAATCACTCCAAAAATGGTTTTAAAGACATACAGTATAACTTAAGAACATAAGAAATGGTAGGCGAGTCATTTGTAACTACCTGATGGCATTGTTGGAGGTGTCCGGGTCATGGGCAGAGACTCTTCCGATTGAGGTGCCCATTTTGGCATCTTCTGAAACCACCATCTTGCTAAGAGGAGATGAAAAGACCGGTGGCTCGTTCACATCTTGCACTGTCACCCTGACTGATGTTGTATCGCTGAATGGTCCTGAACTTAAGAAGTTGGAGTCGATGTTCCTGTTTGTGGCTTCAATTCTCATCGAAAAACTGCTCTTTGTTTCAAAGTCCAGAGGCTAGAGGAGACAGAAGAAGAATACACAACAAATGAGACAGTTCTTAAGTAAAACTATGTAAAGACTATATTCCTTTTGCCACTCAACATTCCCAGACAGTCAAGGTTAAATAAACAATTCATATTTGTCCGTAAATCTGAAGATAATCCACACAATGCTTGGATATTGATCCCAATTAAAAAGTAGATTTTAAGACCCATTACAATTTAACATGGAGTCTGATTTAGACAAAGTAATTTGCTGATGGATTTTAGTGACTTTGTGCTGTGAAAGCAATAATATTGATTTTAAAAAAAGCATGCAGCATGGTGAAAAGCATTCTCAAATGAATGCCTTTGAAACATTTTGTCATTTTGTCTGGAACTCCCCATTGCAACATGTAATATACTGCTGGAGACCATTGATTTGACACTTTCATTGTCAGAGACTCTGTCCAATGGTGTAATTGTCTGAGTTTGGTGCAAAACAAACAAAGGATCAAATTGGCCCATCTGACAAGAATCACTTGTGTCCAACAATGGCTCTGGCTTGTCTGCAAAGGAGCTGCAGCAATGAACTGTCACATCCATGTGGCCACAGGAGCCAGTTTCTAGTCCACTGAAACCCTGAAATGTAAAGTGTTTGCCATGGGCTCTGTTGACACCAAGTGAGGCAAGATTGTGCAACAAAATAAGCTGCTTTATAACCCATTTAAAGTTCAAAGTTTTATTCGTTTGTGTAGGCAGATATTGTGACATTATTTATAACATCTCAGTAACCATGGTGAGAGGAGTGCATCAAATCCTACAGTGAACTAAGTGATTCACTGTGGTTCAATGGATTTGAAGTGTCTAAAAATGTAAATTCTGGTTGGCGTTTTTTGTTTTGGATTTTGAAAATTTCAAAAAAAATCAGAGAATCGAAAAAGACCAAGTACTTTGAGTTTTCTGTTGTATCTTTCATCACTACACTGATTTACACAAGTCTTTAACCTTAAACCCGAATGGACTACAGTTTACTTGTAAACGTGTTGGAGAGAGAACTATTTTAGTCATTGATGATGATCACTAATCCAAAGGTGTAAAGACACTAAGAAGGAAAGGGGTGTAGACATGTAGACATGGGGGTTAGGAACGAAGAAGAGAATTTAAACAAGCATATCCTACATGGAGCACAAAGATCACAGAAATGCACTTTTCTCTTTGTTATAACTAAGAAATGCACATTTTCGCACTGCATTCCAAAATCCAATGAAAAGACCAAAATCAGCCATGCTTGAGTCTCCCTCTTAATCCTCTCTGACTCCCCTGCCCTCTCTGTGCACTTCCTTGCACATTCATTCCTGATAAATACTGTACATTTTAAATAACAAGCGACAAAGTGAAAAGGGCTGTATGTACTGTGCTCCTGAAACTGCTGTGAACTGTGGTACTCAGCAAACATTACTATTTTTTGGGGACTATTTTAAGCTGCGGATTAATTCACATTTGGTCCTATTGTAAATATTTGCAACAGCTGGGGTATATAGGACTAGAGTAAACTACAGTGCCCAATGTTGATGATAATGAAGGACAACGACAGTGTTGCTCAGTGCAACAGTGTGGCTCAGTGTTGGAAAAGCATATTATCAGCTTCATGCTTTTTTATTTTAATTTGAAAATCTACATGAAATTATGATTAATTAAGAAAAGTGTATATTCTACAATTCATTTAGCAGACGCTTTTGTCCAAAGTGAAGTACATCAGAGAGTAAGTACAACACAAGCAAGGATCTAGAGAGGAGGGAACAACATCAGTAAGTGCAAACAAACGGCTTTATGTATATACTGCGAACAGTTTACAGTATGCAGATAGTCAAAACACATCAATCCATATTTCAAGCAACGCTAAATGCCAACTACACCAAGATATTGCCTTCAATCTTGATGGGTTTCAGAAAGGAGCAGGTAATACTATGTGAAAGCCTGTGATCTGTTGAATTAAGCCATCTGTTTATATATAAAGTACCTTCAGGAGGATAATGACTCCATCTTGTGTTTCCTCATCTGTCGTTATGTTGAAAATGGAAGGCCCGTCTCCGTCCATGATCCTGTAGTCCATCTCTGCATTGGAGCCTATGTCAGAATCTGCAGCCTTGATTCTGGCCACCACAGATTGCACCGGCAGTGACTCCAGCACCGTGTACTGATAGTTCTCTGGAAAAGGAAGGGAGAGCAAGCTGATGCTGGTAATGGATGTGCTTATTTCACCACCAACTCACCTTCAAGCAGCTCAGCCTTTTTCAAAACCCCTTCAGCTTTGATTCGGCCGTGTGGCTCAGCAATAAATTCATGTTGCATAACTGAGACAGGCGGCGGCATTTGGGACCCTTTTTATTTTGGAATGCAGCATAGGCAATGAAGAAAAGTTAAAATATGCAGCTAGGAAAGAAAAGACTAATTTGAGACGCCAGATTCTTACCTGGAAGAGTATTCAACAAAACATAGAACTCCCTTAATTCAGCCTGGATGTGATGGTTTAACCCTTGGACCAAAAAGAGATAAAGTGTAGAGAAAAAAAGCCAGAGTAAGGCTTAGTCCCTCTCCGATACCTTTCACGGGATGAAATGTCCACTTGAATATTCTATTACTCCGAAAGTCTCCATTGTGTTCTCTGAGCTTTTGTCTGACCCCTTAGATTTAAAGTACCCTTATAGGAATAAAGAAGGGAATCATATTCATAATCATAATCTCTCCGATCACCATGGCGGAGCTCATTACCAGACCTTTCTGTGTTCCTCATAGTGTCTCCCTCAGCCACCGTCTAAATGCTAATCTGCCTGACATTGTTTGCCGCCATGTAATCTTTATAATGGCTTTTTAATTTGCCGTGGAATAGCAGCTCTTTAAAAGACCAAAGAATTGCTTTCCTCCCTCCACTTTGCCCCTTGCACCTACCTCTTTTTCCTTCCCTTCACCACCTCCCTCCCAGTCTCTCCTCCCATGCTGCTAACCTTGGCTCCTTTCCCTTCCTTTCTTCCAAGGACTAGCTATAGCTCCCTACTCTATCAGCTCTGATGCTCCATAATGGTCTATCGATTCTGACCCATGACCCTGTGAACGCGACGGCAGGTGGAACCCCCAAACTCATCCAAAGTCTCTTTCTTCCCAGCTTGACAGCATTGGGTTAAAACGTCATTGATGACTTGTTGTGCAAACTTGAACCTTTCTTTTCCCCCAGGGGCTAGCAAATTGACTTTGGTCCTCAGCAGTCCAGTGACGAGTGCACTAGGCAGACAGTGGTTGGACTATCAGCGGTAAACCGATTGCCGGCGCTTCAGATTATCATGAGAAGCACTGCATGGCTTTGAATCCCAAAGCTCGGCCTGGACCCCATTAGCAGCCCGTGAAATAGGCTGACAACAAAAAAAGAGGGAGTCTGATTGATCCTGGTATCCAAGGCTGAAGCAGCCCACAGCTGTGACGAAGAGTAAAGCAAGGAGGTGTACACCTTCCAAGAAGGCTGTTTTTAATTTGGTTGTAAAAGTCCAAATGTTTACTGAAAATACAAACAATGTGAAGTTTAAAAGATAAAGAGAAAAGGACAGCATGGCATTCTTCAAAACTAACTAGACAAACACATAATGTATCAGATCAAATGATTTATTTTCAAGAGCAGAATAACAACCCTGCGTTTTCTGTACCACTGCATTCATTGCGAGCAGTACAATGTGTCCCTCATTTAGTTGTCAGAGTTTAAGTGTTCTTTCAGCAATTATAGATCTTTAAAGCCCCATTCATCTGAAGCTAAAGATCTTGCATGGAGATGATGGTTTCAATCTGATTGTGGAGAAGCTGTTAAAAACATGGCATTTACTGTACATGAGGGGCTTTATAAACCCTTAGGGGACAATCAGGAACGCAGTCTTACTGTGAGTGAACCGCGGTGGGTTGTCATTGACATCAGTAAGCGTGACAGTGACGGTGGTTGTGCCGGAGAGGCCACCCATCTGGCCGACCATGTCTTTGGCCTGTATGACAAGAACATACTGGTCCCTTGTCTCCCGGTCCATGTCTGGCAGAGCTGTTCTGATGACACCTAAAGAGAGAAAAGCAGAGAAAAGAATGCTTTTATATTGGTGGTTTCTAACATTTTAAACAGCCTACAATAATGTTTTATTCAAATTGTTACCTGTCGTTTCACCTGTGTTCTTGATGTTCTTGTCTGTTACTTTCTAATGCTTTGTTTTTTTTATATATGTGATGTTCAGCACTTTGGATCAACTGTGCTGTGTGTAAAGTGCTATATAAATAAAGTTAAGTTGAGTTGAGAAGAGATGTAGTCAGATTTTTACTTTGCCACAGAGCTTAAATTTTCATCATTTCACTGCAAGTGATGACTTGGTTGGTTTTTCAAAACGAAGCAGGAAAAAAAAAAAACATTTAGAGGGCAATACAACATATTTATTCCTCATACTCTAAACGGGATGTCCATGACGCCTGGTAACTTGTTTTCACATCAACAGTTTATTGTGACAGTTGTTAGCCCTGAAATGAACTGTCACTCCAAATAGTTTAGAAGTGACATATGATGAGGTTTATGTTAAGACACTGCTGAAAAGTGAGCACATGCAAAGGGACATTTTTAGCCGCCAGGGGATGTATAATCTGTCAGCCCGCTTGTCATGATTGATCTGCATCAGAAAAGGATCAGAGATGTGACACCACCGGCATTAAATGACTGGCATTTGTCTGCAGGTGTCTGTTTTTGTCTGCACCTGAGCCACTGTATTAAAAAGCTAGTGCCAAGCCAAGATCAGGCACACACACAAAATACTAAAAAGCTTGTAGAGAAATCTTCCATTAATGACATTTTTCCAAGCTCGACATTATCTCCTGACTACAAAGATGATAATTCCAGAAAAAATTAACGCCACGCATTTCAATGCAACGAAAAGTGCCCTAATCCTTCAAAAGCAATCACTGTTGCTTCTCAAAGTTAATGAGTTACCACACAATGTGTTTCATTCATTAAATGGCACTTATTAAAGATTCCTACAGAAAATGGAAGATTACTCATGAAGAATCCCCACATAGCCATAACATGCAGTTCCTGAATAAATTGATCTTTTTTAGTTGTGTTATCACATTCACGGCCTGATGAAGCAGATCAAAGGGAGGCTGTTGCGTATAGTCAGCACCTGAAGAATTCCTCATAATCCTTTAAATTACTCTGAAATTTGATATGTAATTGAGGCCCACTCTTACGAGAAAGAAAATAGGCCCACTGCAGAATTCTCAATCAGCTGTGCTCTTGATAAGAAGAATTTCAGAAATGTTTGTAAAATATATTTGGCTGGTATGAGTGAGCCAAGGTAGATTTATGCCTGTTATTTCTTCAACCAAAGCTGTTATCCATATTTTTTATATTATGCTGATTTGTGTTCAAGTCATCTTTCTCTGGAAAGTTTTTTTAAAATGTATTTTTAATGCTAATAGGAATACAATGCCATAATTGATCGCTCTGAAGTCATTACACTTCTTAAACTGCTTTAAATGGACCCAAGAAAAGGACATCGTAATCTGTATTTCTGTGGATATATGTTGTTTTATCATTAAGGGAGCATTTTGGCTTCATCTTTGTTCAACAGGAGTAGACTGAGGCGCGTTGTCCATATACTGTATAGTCTATGGGTGCACCACACACACAGTCTCTCTCACAGACACCTGCAGGTGCCCTCCTGGCAAACATTAAAAAAAAAAAATCACTAAAGTGGTTTTGGCGGAATCATGGATTAATTTAAGGCATGGCCAAGAAGAGGCCTTAAATATGTCACTTGTTGGGTGACTGGTCCCATGTTGATGAATAAGCAATGACACTAAAGTCCTCTGATGGATAGGAATGCAAGTGCACACACACACACACACACACACACACACACACACACACACACACACACACACACACACACACACACACACACACACACACACACAGCAATTAAGCTCAATCCAGGAACAAAGCAGGAAGGACAAACAAATCAAGAAAAGTGGGTCAAAAGACTTTAAGAGAAAAAAGAAGATGCTGTTTGACCGCTGCTGCAGCTGTACTTGAAAATAAACAATTCCATTAAGTGTTTAATTTTCTAGCCCTGCCATCCTTTGTTAATGTCATTACAGTCCCCGCAGCTGAAAACTGTTATTGGCTGCTCTAACTAAAGGGCTCGGTTAGCTAAATTATAGTGAGCTGTCCGCTTCTGTTCTCCAAAGATGCTGCCAGTGGGCTTACAGTGGGATGACTGTGGTCAATAAAGCAATAATCTTTGCCTGTTGCTCTACAAAACATGCCATTTCAGTGCTGCATCAAATAATGAACAGCGAGATGTCACACAGCGCTGGAGGAGGAAAACACGTCTGCCTTTCTCTCCTCCGCTTAAGCTTCAACGACAAAGTCAAAACATGTCATCTGTTTTTTCTTCTTTTTTTTTTTTTAGCTTAATGCTTTTATGAAGAGAATTTAGGCATCCATCTCTGCAATGTGGATATTCACCCATCTGCTTCCCTTACATCCATCCCCCCTCCACCCATTCATCACTTCTCTGTTGCTTCTTCAGCAGTGTAACCTCGTAGCCAATTAAAGAGCACCACCACTGCTCGGGAGCTTGCTGCGGTGACACCTGTGAACCCTGTTTACTGAGTTGCATCTGAAAGGTTACTTCAAAACCTTCAATCCAGCGAGGCTCCCTTAGTACAAGCGAGACGCAAACAGAAACAAACTTTTCTGTTTTCTACTACAACTTCACCACAGGGACAAAGCAAGCATGTCTAGACTTAAAAGAGGTGTCTTTAAACATTCAGGAAGTAAGGCTGAGCTGGATAATGGTTGGATTATAATAACAGCAGCAGATGACAGCAGATGACTCCTAAAAGGTGAGATAAAGCAGGAAAAAAGATGCAAGGTTTGTGCAGCCAGCAGTGAAACAAATGAATGCTCACACTGAACCATAGATAGGCTTCAAACACAATTGATGTACTTATTTAATATCAGCCTGGCGTGTTGGAGCCTGAGAGATATTGGCTGTGGTTAATGATGCAATGAATCCTGATTCCAGCTCTCTTTAAAAAAAAAAAAAAAAACCCCGACATGTTTCTCCTCCCGCCTGGCCAGAAGCACACATACTTCTTGCAGAGCTACGCTGCTAATCCACACGGCGATGTTGCGAGTCTGTTGTTTGTCTGCTGGGTGCCAGCCTCCCCCGTCCCCCGCTCTCTCTATCTCTGTTACCCCGTGCGGCGCTGGTGTCATTCCTGGGGAGAGGCGATGATTAAAATCCTTCTGTCGCTATCACGGCACGGCCTCGCATTGCGCCGTGACTCCTTGCCTCCGGTGCAAGCCAGACGCATTGTAGCCATGCATTTATCTAGCTGTCTCCACACCACTGGCGGCAGACGGGTGGGCCACGCTCCCTGCTAAAACCCAGATACTTGACATTTGTCTTGGGAAGAGGAAATAAAAAGTGCAGACTTTGCGAGGCAGCCTCTGGCTCTGCGTGCAGCTATGAGAGGTACTGATGAAGGTGATGAACACTTAAACATGAAGGGTGCAAGATGTGATTTGCCAGACCCTCAGGCGCTACACTTACAAGGAAAAAAGATCCCATAACACACAAAAAAACAGGCCATACAAACAGGGAATAAAACCTCCGACCTAGGAAGTATATAACTCATTGACATTCACGCATCACGCTCTGATCACAGGTCACTATGCTTACCCAGGGGCTGTGAAGGCGCCACATGATACGACAGAACAAAAGTGTTGTAAGAACACGTCATTATGTCAAACATGTTACACAACAAGATTTCCATTCATTTGTAATGTTTCCCTCAAAGCAAGTGTGCTCATCTGTGCACACTCCAGGTGTGTGCATTTGTGATTTGAATTGAAAAATTGCCTCTCCCATTGTGGCAGCCAGATTTATATCTCGCCTTCAGCTGTAATGTTCTCCATTTAGTGCCGACACCACAACTAGAATCTGGCACAGAGCTACAACAACAAAATAGGGTTGAGAAAAGCTTTTGAAAAAAAAAGAAGAAGGGCTGTGCTAATATCTTAATTACATACTGATCACAGGAAACCTGTCACCTCCTGACCTCAGAGCGGCTCCAGGTTACGCAAGGATTGGATGTGGCCTTTCTCTTTATTTGAGTTGCATTCTGTTTAATTAGATTTTCAGTTCTTCAGCTGAGAAGAGACGAACCTCTGCTCTCCCCTCCTCCTCTCACCCAGGTACCTGTCATATTCAGATGTCATAGTTGTGTCGCTTTGAGAGGCAAGCCGTGTCACATCTTAAATACCCCCTCCAGAATGTAATTAATCCTCTCATTCAGGCACCTGGCATGTTCTACTAACTAAATTCTTCTCTTGTTATTCCAGCCATTGAGGTTTGCGAGCTTGCATGCATGCTTAGCAGTGCTAATGTGTGTGGATAATTGTCTCTAAAGGACTTGCAATATCGCCAAGGTGTATGGAGCTGGAGGCAGCTGTTCAAACCTCCTTGAGCCTGCCATCAATTAGAGCGCAGTCCTCGACAGCGCTACCAATTCAGCTTCACCTTCAAACTAAACTACAAGCTATCAATCAATATGAATTACAAAATACTGTCTTAACGGAGCAGCTTTAGGTGCAGCAACTTATGTATTTTGCCGACATTATGCGTTGCTTGTAAGTTAGTGGAGCTATTCAGGATTAAGTACTTCTCCCAAGGGCACCTTGTAGATTCAATTTGGGATTAAGAACCAGAGGAAAGAGACTTGTTAAGCGAAAAAGAGCAAGGATGCTACCCACCTAACACTGGGTCGCACACATCCTCCCCCCCCCCTGACCATTAGCCCTCTGCCACTTAATCGCTGGTGCAGTATTGCAGTGTGGAGCTTAGAGTGTATTTCAGCCCCGGTACTTTGTCAAAGTCACCCTCTGCAATGGCCCAGGCGTGTGCTGCAAATGGGACTAATTAGTAACTTGCAAAGACAGAAGCACAACGCTCATCCCACAACACTCAATCCTGGGCTGCTGTCTTAAAGCCAGTGTCTCACCCCCTG